CTTACAGACAAAGCAGGTTTGAGTGATGGCTAATAAAATATGACACTCCTAATAGCAGCAGCGGGATTAGAGATGGAGGACACTGGTGTTGTGCTCAAGTAAATTACCATGACCTCCCAGTTAATGCCTGGAGATCGTTAAATACATATGACTATAGGGTATGAATTCAGTTATTACCAACTGTTGTTAAGCCATCTCATAGTGACCCTACACACAACAGAATGAAACACTGCCCAGTCATTCTTCATCATTCCAATTGTTACGTTTGAACCCACTGCTGCAGTGTTACAGTGTCAACCTATCTCACTGGGGGTCTTTCTCTTTTATACTAGCTCTCCACTTTACCAAACATAACGTTCTTGTCCAGGAACTGGTTCCTCCTGATAACATGTCCAAAATACAGGAAATGAAGTCTTGCCATCCTCGCTACTAAAGAGCATTCTGGCTGGACTTCTTCCAATATAGATTTGTTTGTTCTTCTGATATAGTCCATGGACTTTCAATATTCTTTGCCAACACCACAATTCAAATGCATCAGTTCTTTTCCAATCTTCCTTATTCATTGCCCAGTTTTCACATACATACATTGCTGTTGTTGTTGTTAAGTGCCACTCCAACTCATGGTGCCCCTGTATAGGTTTTCTGAGGAGAGGTTGGTGGGTTAGAACTGCTGACCTAACAGTTCAAATTGACCTTGCAACATACATATGAGGAGACTGAAAATACCAAATCTTGGGTCAGGTACACTTTAATCTTCAAAGTGATGTCTTTGTTCTTTTAACACTTCAAAGAAATCTTTTGCAGCAGCTTTGTCAATACATTGGGTTGTTTGATTTCTGGACCGCTGTGTCCATGGGCATGGATTGTGGACCCAAATAAGATGAAATCCTTAACAACTTTAATCTTTTCTCCCTTTACCATGATGCTATTTAATGATCTAGTTATGAGGATTTTTGTTTTCTTTTGAAATTGTAACCATACTGAAGGCTGTAGTCTTTGATTATCATCAGGATGCATTTTAAGACCTCTTCATTCTCAGCAAGCAAAGTTGTGTCATCTGCATATGGCCAACACCAATACAAATGATCCTTCCTCCAATACTAATGAGGTGTTCTTTTTCATATTGCCCAGCTTCTCAGATTTTTTGCTCAGCATACAAATTGAATAGTTACATTAAAGTATACAACCCTGGTGCATACCTGTCCTGTTTTTAAGCCACACAGTATTCCTTTGTTCTTACAGAAGGATTGCCTCTTGATCTGTGTATTGATGTTGTTATTAGGTGCTGTTGAGTTGGTTCGGACTCATAGCAATCTTATGCACAATAGAATGAAGCATTACCCAGTCCTGTACCACCCTCACAATCATTGTTACATTTAAAAGAGTGCTGCTGCCACTGTGCCAATCCATCTCATTGGGGTCTTCCTCTTTTTTCTGACCCTCCACTTTACCAAACATAATATCCATCCTGAGGGACTGGTCTCTCTTGATAATATATCTGAGATATGAGAGATTATCTATGTATAAGATCCACAAAAACACAATTAAATGTTCTGGAGTCCCCATTCATTGCAATGCTATCCATAATTTCTTACAATTCACATAGTCACATGCCTCTGCATAGTTTATCTCTGTGATATTAATGAAACACACAAGATTATCTCTGTGATACTCTTTGCTTTAAGATCTGATGTCAACAATGATATCTCTTGTTCCATGTCCTCTTCTGATTTCAGTTTGAATTTCTAGCAGCTCCCTATTGATGTGCTGGTACAACCATTTTTTGAATTCTCTTCAGCAATATTTTGCTTTATTGTCGTATGAATGATATTGTGCCCCATCATTAAATGAAGGTGCTGAAAGCTTTGCTCCATCCACATCATTAAAGTTGACTCTATTTTGAAGAGGCAGCTCTTCCTAAATCATATTTTGAATACCTTCCAACCTGAGAAGCTCATTTTCTGGCACTGTATCAGACACTGTTTTAACTCTATTCATAAGATTTTCAGGGGTCAATCCCTCAGTAGTGGACTGCTAATTCCTTTGATAAATTCCACATTCTGTTGGTCCACTCTCTTTGGAATGGGCATAAATATGAACATCTATCTGCCAGGTAGATGTCTTCTAAGTTTATTGGCATGAACTAGCAAGTGCTTCCAGTGCTGCATCAGTTTGTTACATCATTTCAATTGGGCATTGAAATGGAACCTTGTTTTCCACTAATGCCTCGCCTTTCATCAATGTCTTCTGTGCATCCTGGACTTCTTCTTTTAATACCATCGGTTCTTGATCATATGGTACCTCCTGAATATTGACCAATTATTTTTGGTACTATAAGTCTGTATATTCCTTCTGTCTTTTCTAATGCTTCCCACATCATTCAATATTTTGCCCATAGAATCCTTCAATATTATAATCCAAGACTTGAATTTTCTGTTCAGTTCTTTCAGCTTAAGAAATGATGAGTATGTTCTTCTCTTTTGGTTTTCTAATTCCAGGTCTTTACACATTTTATTGTAATACTTTGTCTTCTTCAGTGCCCTTTGAAATGTTCTGTTCAGCTCTTTTACTTCATCATTTCTTCCATTCAACTTTAGCTACTCATCATTCAAGAGCAAGTTTCAGAATCTCTTCTGACATTCACTATGGTCTTTTCTTTCTTTCTTATATTTTAATGACCTTTTGCTTTCTTCATGTATGATATTCTTTATGTCGTTCCACAACTCCTCTGGTCTTTGGTCATTAGTGTTCAATGTGCCAAATCTGTTCTTGAGATGGTCTCTAAATTCAGGTGGGATACACTCCAGGACTTGTTTTCATATTCTTCAATTTCAACCTGAACTTTCATATGAGCAATTTGTAGTCGGTTCCACTTTCTACCCCTGGCCTTAGTTTCGCAGATGACATTGAGCTACTCCAACATCTTTTTCCACAGATGTCAATTTGATTCCTGTGTATTCCATTTGGTGACGTCCTGTGTATAGTTGCTGTCTATATTGTTGAAAAAAGGTATTTGTAATGAATATGTCATTGGTCTTGCAAAATTCTATTATGCAATCTCCAATGTCATTTCTATCACCACAGCCATATTTTTCAATTACTGATCCCTCCTCTTTGTTTCTAACGTTCACATTCTAATCACCAATAGTTATCACCATATCTTGATTACATGTTTGATCACTTTCTGAATCATCTACCATACTGAAAAAGCTGGTAGAATTTTTCAATTTCTACATCATTGGTTTTAGCAGTTGGTGAGTAAATCTGAATAATAGTTGCACTAATTGATCTTCCTTGTAAGCATATAGATATTATATCACAGACAGTATTACACTTCTGGATTTTGAAACATTCTTCTTGATGCTGAATGTGACACCATTCCTCTCCACTTTTTCATTCCAGTCAATGTGATTGCCCAATTCAAAATGGCCAATATCTGTCCATTTCAGTTTAGTAATGCCTAAAATATAGATCTTTATTAATTCCATTTCATTTTTTATGACTTCCAATTTTTCTAGATATATATTTCATATATTCCATGTTCTAGTTTCTAATAGATGTTTGAAACTGTTTCTTCTGATTTTGACCAGTGCCCCATCAGTAAATGAAGATCCTTATAGCTTTGTTCCATCCACATCATTAAGACTGACTCTACTCTAAGAAAGCAGCTCTTCTTCAGTCTTATTTTGAATGTTTTCCAACTGGAGGAGCTCATCTCCTGGCACTGTATCAGACAATGTTTTGTTTCTATTCATAAGATTTTTAGGGGCTAATTCCTCAGAAGTTGGCCACCTATTCCTTCTTCCTAGTCTGTTATTATCCTGGAAGTTCTGTTGACACCTATCCACCCTGCTGACTGAAACACTAGTAACATAGCTTTTAGCATCACAGCAATGTGCAAGCCACCACAGTATGACAAAATGACAGCCATCACCAAAGATTGCAATAAATCCATCTTCAACAACCAAGGACCCAAAGAAGTGAAGAATATAACAATTAGATGCTGGCATATAAGGAAATGTCTCCAGGAGTAGGCAAGTCACTAAGAAAAATAAGTTATAATAAGAAATGAGAAAATCTAAAACAATGGCTTCCTAGTGTAGCACTGTAGTACCAGCACTGGACTGTCAAACACAAGGTCAACAATTCAAACCCACCAACTGCTCCTTGGAAACCCTATACAGTATCGCTATGAGTTAGAACCGACTTGAGGGCACTTAACAAAAACAACAGGATAATGGAATGTTATGATACACAAAAGGAGAAAATGAGTCAATGAATACTAACCTTCAAGAATAGATAAAATCTATACTACACTTCCTTTATTCCCTTTAGCAGTGTGTGGATATGTTACTTAATAATAAATTAATCAAAGGTAAAGGAACTGTCCAATATTTTGGAAGAAAGTAGAATTCCAGGATGCCCTGCAAACAGACTATTATTTTCCAAAATATTAAATGAAACTAAACATCTTGTATCCACACCCAAGAGAGGTCAGAATCAGGTAGTCCCTCCCCTTGGCTAATGAGATTCTGGCAGAACACAGGGTCATAAGACAGAGGAACCCTAAAGAGTGGAAGCAGGTTCCCCTGACATGGCTGCCTGGGTCTCTCATGCCATTCATAATACTATAGCCCCAAAGTTACCCTTTTCCCTGGCTCTTGGCCCTAGCACCAGAATGTGAGTCACAGGGGTTGGAACTCTGGCAGTCACTGAGCTCTAATAAGTAACTCCCATTGATTTCCCAGCCCAGGGCCTCATCCTTCCTCCCCTTTCAGCTGCTCTGACTGCTGGCACCAGGAGGCAGGCTTGGAAAATCACTCACATATTATTGGTGATCTCCAGCCCCCACCTTCATTCATGTGTACACATAAGCTTTAGAAAACCTGTGGTGCAAGTCACACATAAGTAAATCAGAACCCAAGCAGACACTGTCACTGTGTCATCTGCTACCCTAATCCAAGTCACTGCTGCTACTGTAACAGCTCCAAGACAAGAACATGGAAAAGCTACTGCTTTGGGTTTCTATCTTCATCACTGTCCCAGAAGCCTTTGGTCAGACAGGTAGGAAAGTCAGAGGTTGGTCAAGGAGCATGGGATAAGAAAAGTTCAAACTATGATTTTTATTTCCTGCATTCATATTCCCTTTCTCCCCAACAGACCTCACTGGAAAGGTGTTTGTGTTCCCTAGAGAATCTTCTACTGACCATGTGAGCTTGATCACACAGCTGGACACACCTTTGAAAAATGTTACCTTGTGTTTTCGTGCCTATAGTGACCTCTCCAGACCCTACAGCCTCTTCTCCTACAACGTCCAGGACAAGGATAATGAGTTGCTAGTTTTTAAAGAAAAAGTTGGAGAGTACAGTATACACATTGGAAAAAGCAAAGTTACATATAAAGTTATTGAAGAGTTCCCTTCTCCAGTGCATATCTGTGCCAGCTGGGAGTCCTCCTCAGGCATTGCTGAGCTCTGGGTCAATGGGAATCCTGCAGTAAGGAAGGGTCTAAAGAAGGGATACTCTGTAGGAGTTAACCCCAAGATTATTTTGGGACAGGAGCAGGATGGCTATGGGAGTAGGTTTGATAAAAGCCAGTCCTTTGTGGGAGAGATTGGAGATCTGTACATGTGGGATTCTGTGCTGACTCCAGAAGAAGTCCAGTATGCATATCAGGGCTCTCTGGTCAATTCTAATATCCTGAATTGGAAGGCTCTGAATTATGAACTGAAAGGATATGTCATTATCAAAAACCTGGTATGGAAGTGAGGTCTTCACTTGAAAATGCAATGACCAATATGTAAGAGATCTGTCCAAGGCAACTGGATACCAAATCCTGTATTTGTATCTCTTTTTTCTTTTAACTTTCTGTCTACATATTTGTGCAATAAACTAAATACTGTATTATGCTACCTACAATAACAAGAATTATTTAGTGTTTATCAGAGTCCCAAACATTTTCTCTTCCATCTGCTATTTGTTATTTTATTAACCAAAAAAATCACATTACAAAGTATGTGGCCACCATGTCTGTCATGCTGTGATGGCTTGAACATTGCTATGGAGTTGGAACCTATGCCTCCAGTTTTTCTAATACCAGCAGGGTCACCCATAGTGAACAATCACCATGGAGCTTCTTTTTGTTGTTGTGTAATGCCGTCGAATCAGTTCCAACTCATAGTGATCCTATATAGGGTTTCCAAGGAGTGGCTGATGAGTTTGAACCACCAACCTTGTGATTCAAATTCACCTTGCGGTTCAATGTTGTATCCTACAGTGCCACACCAGGACTAGAATAAGCCAAACTAGAAAGAAAGGCCTGGTAATAGACTTCCAAAATTATCCAGTAGAATACAGTATGGATAACAATAGAATACTCTCTGATAGAGTGCTAGAACATGAGCCCCCTAAATTGGAGAGCACTCAAAATACATAGTGACCACAACAGTGGATTAGAATATACCAATGATTACGAAGATGGTGCAAGACCAGGTAACATTTCATTCTATTAGACATGGGGTTCTCTCTCTTTTTTACTTAGCACTGATGTAACAGAAATACCTTGAAAGGATAGAAATTTATTTTCTAATAGTTCTGGAAACTAAAAGTGCAAATTAGGGTTTAGGCCATAATTCCTTCCTTGTTGGTAGCCCCAGGCTTTCCTTGGCTCCTTGGCAATCGTAACATGGTATCTGCCTCGCCTAGTTTGTGAATGTCTGTGTCTTTATTGTTCTTAGGTTTAAGACATTAGATTAAGATGCTCTACATTGATATGACTGCAACTAACTGATTTATTCATTGCATTACACTAGACTTCATTATGGAAGGTAATCTATTCAACCAAAGCCAACTCATGAAATCAATTCATTTTATCTCATGATTAAATCATAAGATGACCAGGATTTCAGAACATATTTTGGGGTTACAACTGAATCCATAACAGTCACCGTGAGTTGAAGTCAACTTGACAACAACTAAAAACAACAAAGAATGGGGAGGGAAACTTTCAAGTAACTAAGAAGATGTATTACAAACTGGACCACTCAATGAGTATGGCAGTGGTAACACTTAAAAGAGCTAATGAGTAACTTCTATAATCATCATTTTAGTAGCAATTCAAAATTTGAGTGGAATCACAACAAAAATCCTTTATTTGATTTTCCAGGAGCAAACTGATCAAAATAAGGTCTGAGTTTAAGCTAGGGAGACAACAAGGCACATGCTACCCTAATGGTCAAAAATTGCTAGATCACATTTTCCTTCTTTGCAATGTGTCCTATGAATTGTCCAGAAATCACTTCACAGGAAAGATTACTAAAATGTTTGCCATGTTCTGCCTATTAGGCAATATTTGCATTGTCCATATTATCCCCAGCCATCTGGTAAGATAGAGTAAATGAATCGTTAAAAAACAAAAAAATACAGCAAAACTTTCAGTCACTAAACTTGTCATAGCCAAAAGTTTCCCACTGACACTTAAACGTCTATTCAGTCAATACCACCAAGAAAGCACAAATACGGCCTAACAAAATTGTTATAGGTGACGTCATGCATTTAAGATCATACCTTATACATATCCAGCCCTTACATAAAGGCTGACATTATTCAATATTGCAACGGTTTAATGGACTATTCCCAAGCTTATTATCAACAGATAAAATATCCTTCCAGTATCCTCTTCTTATAAAAGACATGTTCTTTATAACTTAGAACCAAGAAACTTGCTATGTTAGAAGGTGTCAAAGAAAATCACCTCTCAAAACACTCTGAGCAAGATCATTCCAGGTTCTACTTGCCACACATGCTACAGCCAAATTTAAAGGAATAGACACTTTAACCCACACATATCCCAATTAAACAGGGCCCTCTTCCAAGTACAGTCCTATAAGCCAGTATCTGACTTAAAACTCAGATTTAAATGAGTCCACTCTGGTAGCATAGTGGTTACGAATCGGGCTGCGAATCTCAAGGTCAGCAGTTTGAAACTACCAGTGGTTCCGCAGGAGAAAGATGAGGCATTCTGCTCCTGTAAAGATTTACAGCCTTGGAAACCCTGTACAGGGTCGCTATGAGTCAGAACCAACTCCACGGCACAAAACAACAACAACAACTGTAATCTCAAAGTAGATGGCATCACAAAAGTACACAACTTCCACCCAAGACTCCAGACCAAGCCTCCCCTAGATTTGCTTACCCCATGCCTTGCTTAACTTTGTTAACAATTTTAATGATTATTGTGCTGTTATCTTTATCCTTTTGTACATCTTAAGAACATTTCAATCTCGTCTCTGGCAAGTTGGAAATCATTAAGGACATTAAGTTAGTTAGACAGGAACTTTCACAATGTGGGAAATTTTTATTTCTAATTGCCACATCAGGACTTAAAGTTTGCTTTGTGGTTTCCTAATTTGAATTGCCTTTTCATAAACTTGTACTATGATTATTAGGAAGGCCTATCTATTCTTCTATAACAGATATTTCTATCAAAAAAAGCATGTGAACACACAATTTGCCCTAACATTGCCCAATTTTAGATTGTTTTAGTTTAACAGCTTTCCCTGCCAAGAAACCTAAAACAAATTTCAGGGAAAAGGCAAGAGCGTTCTCAGGTTATATAATTTATTCATCCAATTACTTATTGTATAATCACTCTATGCCAAGCACTATGTCAGATGCTGAAAATACAATATTGAATGGAACAAAGTGTTTCCATACCTAGAGTTTATATTCTATTAAATCTGTGTCATCTAAATATAGATTCTTTGTGACAATTAACTATCTCGGGTTGTAACCTAGGCTATGATATTATATTTTGAAGTTTGCTCCTGTGAATCCCATATTTAAAACTCTTCCATGGCTCCCCATGAGCTGTTGCCCATTGAGTCAATTCCAACTCATGGCCACCCTATAGATAGAGTAGAGCTGCTTCATAGAGTTTCCAAGGTTGTATCTTTATAGAAACAGATTGCTACATCTTTGTGCCATGGATTCATAAGCCCAACCTTTCATTAGGTAGTTGTGTTCTTAATCACTTTACCACCAGTGCTCTTTGGCTTCCCATATCTTACAGGATATAATTTGACATGATTTGTTGCTGTTGCTGTTAGGTGACATCGAGTTGGTACCAACTCATAGCAACATCATGCACAACAGAACGAAACACTTCCCAGTCCTGGGATAACCTCACAATTGTTACCATGCTTGAGACCATTGATGCTGCCACTTTGCCAATCCATCTAGCTGAGGGTCTTCCTCTTTCTCTCTGACCTTCCAGCTTTCCAAACATGACATCCTTCTCCAGGAACTGGCTTCTCCTAACAATATGTTTGAAGTATGAAAGACAAAGTTTGGCCATCCTGGGCTCCAAGGAGCACTCTGGCTGCACTTCTTCCAACACAGATCTGTTGGTTCTTTTGTCAGCCCATGGTACTTTCAATATTCTCCTCCAACACCACAACTCAAATGGATCAATTATTCTACCGTCTTCTTTATTCACTGCTCAGCTTTTGCATGCATATGAGTTATTGAAAATACCATGGTTTGGGTCAGGTGCACCTTAGTCCTCAAGCTGACATCTTCAACACTTTAAAAAGGTCTTGTGCAGCAGATTTGCCTAATGCAATATGCCATTTAATTTCTTGACTGCTGCTTCCATGAGTGTTGATGGTTGATCCAAGAAGAATGAAGTCTTTGACAACTTCAGTCTTTTCTCCATTGGTAAGAATGTTGTTTATTGGTCTAGTGGTGAGGATTTTTTGTTTTCTTTACATTGAAATGCAATCCATACTGAAGGATGTGATCTTTGATCTTCATCAGTAAGTATTTTAAATCCTCTACACTTTCAGCAAACAAGGTTGTATCATCTGCGCATCACAGGTTGTTAATGAGTCTTCCTCCAATCCTGATGCCATGTTTTTCTTCATAGAACCCAGCTTCTCAGATTATTTGCTCAGCATACAGGTTGAATAAGCATGGTGAAAGAATACAACCCTGTCGCACACCTTTCTTAATTTTAAACAATTCAGTGTTCCCATGTTCTGTTTAAACAACTGCCTCTTGGTTTATGTACAGATTCCTCATGAGCACAATTAAGTGTTCTGGAATACTCAGACTTCATAATGTTGCCCATAGCTTGTCATGATCCACACAATCGAAAGCCTTTGCATAGTCAATAAAGCACAGGTAAACACCTTTCTGGTGTTCTCTGCTTTCAGCCAAGATCCATCAAAATCAACAATGATATCCCTTGTTCCACGTCCTCTTCTGAATCCGGCTAGAACCTCTGGAAGTTCTCTGTCAATGTATGCTTGTAGCCATTTCTCTATTACCTTTAGTAAAACTTTACTTGCATGGGATGTCAAAGAGATTGTCTGATGATTTCTGCATTCCATTGGGTCACCTCTCTTTGGAATGGGAACAAATATGGATCTCTTCCAATCAGTTTACCAGATAATTGTCTTCTAAATTTCTTGGCATAGATGAGTGAGTGTCTCTAATGTCGTCTCACTTTCTTGAAAGACTTCAATTTTTTTCCATCAATTCCTGGTGCCTTGTTCTTTGACAATTCCTTCAATTCACCTTGGACCTCTTCCTTTAGTGTCATTGGCTCTTGATCATATGCCACCTCTTGAAACACTTGAACATCAACCATTTCTTTTTCGTACAGTGACTCTATTTATTCCTTCCATCTTCTTTTGATGCTTTCTGCATCATTCAATAATTTTCCCAGAGAATCCTTCAATAACAAAAGTCAAGGCTTGAATTTTTTC